TTTGTTTAGGAACGAAAAAACCGTTCACTCGCAGAGTTGTTATTGTTTACTTGGTTGTCGACCTCAGTGTTTGAACTTGAACTTTCCGCAAGATAAGCTCTATGATTCTGGCTATTCTGATTTCTATACCGATTTGAACGACGCATATTCACGCTACCGCGTCCACGATTATTATTATATCGCTGATTAGGAAAATTTCTTTGTTGGCTATTTGACTGTCTAAATTCGTTGTTTTGATTGAACCTAATGGAATTATTATTGTTATTTTTATGGAAATACTGATTTCCTCTGATTCCTGAAAAACCGCGTCTAGCTCTTCGATCTCTCATATGGAAACATTGAGAATTTGAAGACCCTATCTTTGACTTATCTTCATCTTTAGCGCCACCTATTGCATCCCTCAGATTATTATAATTCCTTGCTTTAACGATGGTCCGTAACTCAGAATTTCTCAGCCCATTTGCAAAAGCATTAATCGCTATTTTCTCGTTAACTTTTGACAAAATTTTTGCACTATCATCATCTCCATTGGATTGACATAAGGTTAAATTCACTAACAGTTCTTCAATACTTTTTCCGAATTCCTCTATTGATTTATTTTCCTGCTTGACATTATGAATTTCAATTGACAAAGCTGCAGCAGACTTTTTAGTGAATAGATGAACTTTCATGTCCTTTAATAGATTATCGATAGAATTGTAAGTATTTTCTAACCTTAATTTTGCATTTTGAGAGAGCCTAGTTTTTAATACATAGCTGATCAAGAATGTTTTCCCATCTTGATCTAGAAGATCCCTATATAACTCAATAGCATCGATAAGCTGTTTAGTCGTATCTTCCGTGTTATCCATAATGGGAATTAAAGAAGAAGCAGTCCTAAGGTCAAATTTTTCGCCCATTTTTGCGATATTTCCTCCTTTTTCTATGTTTGATAATCTGTCCTTTAAAATAGAATGTGCTTCAGAAATCAAACTATTTATTTCTTTAGCATAACTTTTGACTTGTGCCGTTTCTTCTAAAGTTTTTTCACTTTTACTATTAAACAACTCCTTAATTTTATTGAAATTGTCTTCTATTTCCCTCAATTCTGAACGTTTCTGATCAACTAATTGCAAATTACCTCGCCTCTGAGAATTATCTTTTGTTAAATTACGTCTAAAAACCTTAATTTCCTCATAAATATGCCTAAATTCTATCATTTGTACTACCTAACACTAATTAACTTATCTACCTTATACATATTAATCCTGCGGTCCTCTCTGCGCCTCCTCGAACCTGCTGCAACTCCAACTCGATGCTCATCTATGGGTTGAAGTTCAATTTCTCTCGGCTTCACACAGTCTCCTGGCTCCTGGAAAGTTCTCTCCTAATCTTCCTCTCTAGTGCTTTCTTCGCTCGTCTTCGGATATACAGGATGATTGCTACCAGAACTAAGCAACCAACTACTACGGCCAGTACCTCGAATATGGTGTATTTCTGTTGACTTCCTTCGGCTGCAGTATTATTGATGGCACCTCCGTTGATTCCTGCTTGGCCAATCACGAAGTTTTCCTTTGCTTGCTGGTTCCCCATATCCAGTATTTAGGTATACCAATCGTGTAAATTTTAACAGTACAACGACTGGCAGGATCGCCATGTAATAGGATGAATGATCATTCCTATTCCAGGGTTAATAACTGGGTTGTGAATGTATGGTGACAGACATTCTAGTAATCAACTCAAAGTCAAGTTAGAATCAATCTTCTCTTTATTGGTGGTACCAGGTATATATATATAAATCATAGGAACGTACCCTAAACCTAAACAACCTAATATCATGAATACACCGTGCGTCTTGATAACAACAGTGTTAACAACCCACACGGTGCGTTGTCCTCGCTTAACCTATTATACAGAGTATTCCTACAATATAATATCACCCTATATTATCTTACATACTACACCGCTTCTTGAACACAATATTGTCCAAATGTCGTCCATCCTTCTCATAGCACTCCTGGCACTCCTCTAATGATTTTCTTGAATGTTGGAATACCCGCTGACACATATTCCTATTTCAATAGCAATGTTGTTAATTGACTGTCGAATTTTGTCTTTTAATTTCTCCGTAGTGGCTGGAGGATCGGAGTAGACGATGCTCTATATTCCCACAAAAAATGGAGGGGTGTAAGATCTGACGATTTTGTCGGGTATATAAGTGGTGTCCCCAATTTTCGAAAAACTCGCCGTGATGTAACATAGGAATCGTTAGATCAGGGCCCACTCAGAGTAGGCCCTGGTTAGATCCATGTTTTCTGACTCATATTCGCCGCCATTTACCAGCGCTTCTTCCCTTACATCTTTAGGACGGTTATACAGGGCGCATGCGAAAAGGGAAATTCCCCCTGTATATGTTTCAGTAATAAAGCCATCATCGAACGTTGAGGCTTCGCACCCCTTCCTGGTCACTTTGGAGACCTGCAGAACATATCTTTCCAAAGAATCGTTCATCCAACGAACAGCGAGGCTCTGGAACACATTGTCAAGGGAGGTGTTCCCCGTGGCTTATAACCTCCAGAAATTTAAGGAGAACACCAATTCCTACCTCATTTCCCAATGAGTTCATTGTACCAGTATATCACCTGACGAAGCTACTGTGTTAGCGCAACATGTCGTGTGTTTAAAAATTTGTGGAAATCTTATCGTCTGTGAAGTTATTAAACTTGACATCAACTTAATATGAACTTAACATCAACTCAACATCAACTTAACATCAACTTAACATCAACTTAACATCAACTCAACATCCACTTAACATCAGCTTAACATAAATTCAACAGTTTCTTAACATTAACTTGAAATTAACTTAACATTAACTCAACATCAACTCAACATTAACTCAAAATTGACCTTACATTGACTCAACATCAACTTAACATTAACTCAATAATTATTCGACATTAACTCGACATTAAATCAACATCAACTCAAAATCAACTTGACATCACCTTAAAATCAAATAAACATCAACCCAATATCAAATTGACATTAACTTCACATTAATCACTAAATTGCCAATACATTGACATTAATTCAACTCTCAATTGAAATTAACTTGATTTCAACGTTTCATCAACTCAACAATACGTCAACATTCACGACAATAACTCATGTTGAATCGACACTAACTTTCCATTAACTTGACCATAACTAAACTTACCATAATTCAGCATTATAATCATTCATTGGTACATCATAATCTATAGCCCCTTTTACTGTGCGATTTTCGGATATTTCAACCCATGTGAGTTTTACTTTCGATTATGCCATCTCATACCAATAGAAGGGTAGATTTCAGAAACCATCCTGTGCCACTTCTCATCCACGGAACAGCGATATATTTGTAGCCATCATTCCGGACACAACTCTGTCATGTGAATCAAGAAGCACTTGAAAAAGGATAATGTCCCCTTTGCGGATATACAACCGTGTCGTGATTCAAACTGATGAAAGTTAGTAGCACAGCGTCAATATTTCCGAGAATATTCCGCTCCTCCCGAAAGATAATATCCGATGGACCGATGTGAAACTCCATATATGGATATGTAGTGTGGCTCATCTACTAGAAATCCCTGAAAATAATGAAATGATGAAAGAGTCTATAAATATTGGTTGTTAACTTCCAGTCAACCCGATGACATTCCAGTGAGGTCTTTTTCATCAGTTGAATGACCAAGGTGACGTCAGGAGTTGACGTCGTATGACGTGATGAATGACTTGAATAAGTCACAGCCCAAATGACGTCATATTACTCACGTTCATTGGCGTCATTCACTCACCAAACTGTGACTTCGAACTGACGTCGAAATGACGTCAAAATGACGTTCAATTTGGTGAAAAAAATTTTTTCAAACATGGTGTGATGAAACACCACTGACATTTGATGATATATAATATTGATTATAAATTGTTGAGTCTGCTTGGTGGTCCCTCTGGAGTCATGTCCATACAATCGTCTTTTCAGCAGCAACTATCCTTCAGTTATATCAGTAACTCGTATTTGTATGAAAAATAATGTAGTTTGTGTCGGCGAGATGTAAGCAAACCAAAAATAATTTGATAGCAATAAAAAGGATGTTGTGAATTTAGCTTCACTTTGTTAGGTAACGTATATTCATGCACTCCCTGTCACTCAACAAAAATCTAAATATCAAATTATTAGAAAATTTTCTGAATGACAAAACACACCAAATTGGTACGTCACACTGACGTGATTTTTAGAAGTAAAACATACGTCACTGCAACGTCATGAAAGTGATGGTTTCAAAAGGTACACCTATATTATCATCTGTATATATACATATATGGCTTGATTGGTTTGCGAAATATAGAGGGTGTCAGAGTTTAAATAAAAAGTTTTATTCTGATTTTTGGATATTTATAATTCCAATAAAACTTGTTGATTTGATTGATTTGAGTCAATGAGTTATACTTCTATTAACGTTAGTAAGCAAATAAATACAATTACCAATTTGTGTGTGGAATTAATGAAAAAACGATTTGTACTGAAAACTTTTTACATAAAAATGTGAGTATATATGGTTCAGAGATGGTCCCTGCAACGTCATGAAACTGACGTCTCATTTTACCCCTCTAGGTGACGTTCATTCCACGTCAAGAGGATGACGTGATTATCACGCCATAGGATGTACTTCATAATGACGTCATAAATTGGTATGTGAGTTCTCTGACAGAATTAGGGACGTCACAGTGACGTGATCATTTGTCATCTCGTTGCCTGGGTTGCTATCGAAACTGACAACAGGTCATTTCTTGTACAATATTGAACATATTTTTGTAATTCGAAACATATTTCACAAATTCTTCATTGATATCTGTTAAAGTATTACCGTTATTACAATTGAATATGAATCATTCGCCACATTCTGCATTCGATGATTTTATGTTTCTCGAACTGAACAGATAGTATCAAAAAACTTACACGTTTTGTGTGATTCTAGCCGCCATGCAACGTTTTCACAACAAATCAGTGGTTGTTACTGGTTCTACAAACGGAATTGGTTTTGCGATTGCTGAACGGTTCGCTAAAGAAGGAGCAAAGGTAAGGTACATCAAACTGATAATTTGTCTTAGGATCCCTTCTTGAAAATAACGTATGTTATTGAAGGTGATACCACGAGTTCCTAAAATATTACCGATAATTTTTTCAATTAACTACGAAAACTTCTTAATTTGGCAGTAAAATGAAAACAAACCGCTTGATCACCAATTTGATAGAGGCACTAGTAAATTTCACCAGTCAAATCAGTACTGTGCTTTTATTATGATTGATCGAATTGTTCTAAAAGTGATGTGTATGGCATACCTTTGCAGTGACTACAAGCGAGGATGGAAATGAAACATCTTTTGTGTCATCATATTGAAAGACGATTGAAAAACACGAGTTCCTGAAATATTACCGATAATTCTTTCAATTTTCTACAAACACTTTTTTATTCGGCGAGAAAATGAAAACAAACCGATTGATCACCAATTTGATAGAGGAAGACACTAGCTTTCACTAGTCAAATCAATACTATGTCCTTCTGTTATGAGTGATCAAATGGATGGAAATGAAACATCATTCGTGTTATTATATTGAACGACGATTAAAAAGTTACGTTTTGTTTCCTTGGAGGATTGATAATTGATTTCATTGTTACTCACACATGAGATTGATCGAAAGAAACAAGATGAAGAAAATGGTAAGATTGGTCAGATTGATTTTGACAAGTAGTTCAATGTAAACAAAATGTTAAGTCGAATAGTAGGGACACCACATATTCACCTCGATTCATTTTTTCATAGATATGCTGGGCGTACTGGTACTGGTTTCTGTGGAGAATCCACTTCTGAAACCATGTTGATTATTTGTGATTATATTGAAAGAACACAGGTATTAGAAAACATGCTCAATAAAGAACTTGGTCGATAGTTTTCCATATCACTAGGATCCCTTTTTTTGTAAAGTAAAATAACTGATGCTAATTCAAAGCACGAAGAAAATCTTTCCATCTTTCGAATCAGTTAATCTTCATTTTCATAGTTGATTTTGGTTATTACATTCCGTTGTGCCCTTTGCATCATTCATAATGGACCAGGCTGTTTCATTCTTGTTGCTGGAGTTGTCAATAATGTTTTTGTAATAATGTTTCTTTCCTAATTCGATTTGTTTATCTACTTCTTTTTCCAAGAGTTCGTAATTAATGCTTAGGTTTTCATCATATATTCTTTCACGCATCCACTCTACGTTTGACGATTCTTTCCTTTTTAAAAGTTAGAAGATTTTATTCAACTTGCAATGTATGGATGTATGTTAGGTCGGGTGGAATCTTTGAACTCGATTTTGAAGTTGATATCTTCAACCGAATGAGTGACGTCATTGTGAATTCAATATGGCGGACCATCCAAGATGGCGGAATATTTATCTTCAATGCACTCCTAAAATATGGGTATCAAATGAAAGGAAGCGTTGAGAGTGATTCGAAGAATGATGTGACGTCATTCTGGCTGGTCTGCCATATTGGATTCAGAATGACGAAATACTTATTAGTTATAGTTATTTTTAATGCACTTCTACAATATGGTTATCAAATGAAAGGACTTTTTGAGAGTTACTCGAGAAATAATGTGACGTCATTCTGAATCCAATATGGCGGACCATCCAAGATGACGAAATAGGTATTTTTAATGCACTTCTACAATATGGGTATCAAATGAGAGGAATCCAATATGGCGGACTATCCAAGATGTCGGAATAGTTATTCTCAATCCACTTCTACAATGTGGGTATCAAATGGAAGGTCTCGTTGAGACTCGGAAATAATATGTAAAATCATTAGGTCTCCTCATTGAACAGCTGTACTGTTCGAGATCAACAGGCAAAAGACAATGACAATGAACAATGATGCGTTGAATGAAATGAACAGGCTGAGAAACCTAGCCAGCGAAAACTGAGAATTTCATAATGAATTGAAAGTAAAAAAAAAATTGATGAAAACTTTTATTCAAACTCTCTAAAAAGAATGAAATGAATTGTTGCTTTATAATTTCAACTATTAACTCATAACCTCATTATACACAATTTATATGATCATAAAAACTTGTCGCGATAATCAATATTCAATCAAATTGGAATTGAATTGAATTATAAAGAAACACTCTATTCCATTATTTTTAGAGCATTTGAATAAAAGTTTTTGATTGAACAATGTTTTCCCTTCCAATTCATTTGATTAGCTTTTTCAAAAAAAAAAAAAAATTTTTCAGGTTTAGTTCTGGGTTTGTTTGGGATTCATCTGTTCCTTTCGAACGCATTGTCGAAACACCTCAGAAATGTGGCCAACAAGTTTGCAAAAACATGATTGACGTCAGCATCAGTATTTATTTATATCAAAACTCACTTTGGGAAGCTGCTTTCTCAAATCATTCATAGAATTGTCATCAAACTTTCTGAAAGAATGTGTTCTGTGGGTATGTTCAATATATATTAGGTTTTGACCGATATATTACATTGCACTGTCTGACAGTGATGATCCAATAGTCCAGGATCAAAGTTGGATGTTTTCCGAATATAATGGTGCATTGGTGATCACATAATCTATAGAGGTATAGCTGGTATATGTTACGCCTGAGAGAACTCTTGTGAATTGAGAAATCAACGATGTCATTCCAAAAAATTTCAGTACATCGAATAACATTTTTGCTTTCAATGTGTTACTGAATCGATCTATATTTAAATCGCCACCGATGATGACATATTCAAATTTTTTCATGGTAAGAGATATAAGTTTGGAAAACTGTGTGAAAAATAGGTCTACTTCTTTTGAATGGTAGTTTGCGGAATGGATTTCCTCATATTTCCGTGGTTTCTTCAGACGAAATTTTCCTGAAACGGCTCATCTTGCTAATTGCGAGAATATCATGAAAATTTGCATCAAATGATAGGGAATGCAAATAATATCTGCAACTTATTTTGAAGAAAAAAATGAGCAAACGGCGGACCAGAGCAGGCAGATGCTCATTTGTCCTGTGAACTGGTTCCCATATTTGTTTTCGGACGATATCTGAATGTTGTTATTCCACGCTGAAATAAGTACATTTGTTTTGTTTTTGTTTGTGAATTTCACTGTTACTTCAGATTTCGAGCAGACGGAGGCGTTATCGAAGCAGACGCCGTCAAAAATATGTCAAAAATGCCAAATGGCAGAAATAAATATTTCAACTTGCAATTCACATCAAATGATGAAATGATATTCCTGAACTTTCCTTTACCAAATGTTTTTTGCCTTGATTATTCCTTCAACCGTGAGCTCTCCATCTTGATTCGGCACATATTCCTTTAAATTGCATACAAATATCATCATCCATGCGGTACATCTCACAATCCTTAACTGTTCAGAAAATCTTCGGATATTTGGTAAAAAATCTGTCTTCCCAACAAGAGAATTAAAGTATCCTTCCTCCGATATGTTACTTATTTCTCCTTCCATTCCTTCTACTGGCCAAGATTCTCCTGACATTTTCGAAAAAAACTGGACCTTGTAGCCAAAACGAATCGGTGGAAAAATTAATGTCGTCCTTTTGTTTGATAGCTAAATCAGCAACATCAGAATTTGACGGTACCCATTTCCATTTCCATTTCAATATATCGGTCGATTCCAAAATTTCTTGTATTCTATCTGCCTCAAGTATTCTCAACCTGTTTGAATGTGATCTCAGACAACTCAACACTTCAAGTTCAATCCGAGGCACATACAACATTTAATGAATTGGTCCTATTTTACATTTCGACGAAACCAGATATACTTTTATCTCGTTATTATATGATTTGCTACGATGGAAGGCATCTTCTGCAAATGCTTGACTACTTCTATCTCCTAGAATACGTGCATTCGAACATGTTCAGTACCTCTCTTCATGGGAAAGTACTCTTCGTATTGTGAATGTTGAAATACTCTTTATGCTTTCACATCACCTTCGCCAATTTTTCATAATATCTTCTGCAACATTTTTTCTTTCCATCCTACAGACTTCCTCCAGCAATCTTGAAGTATCAATCTTCCTTTCATCATGAGAAGAGACAGACACCCAATCGGTTTATGACACCCAATAGTCATGATGATTTGCAGATGATCTCTCTTTTTAGGAGTCCTTTGGCCATTCGTAAGTTCTGAGGGAATTTTCGACAAGTCGAATTGGAGTACAAAGGTATCGTCATCAGTATTCCAGGAAAGTCCCAAAACTCTTCTCAGATTTTTCTAGTCTCTGTTCAGTGATTTCCTTTTTGCAATGTGACTTTCTGAAATGGATTCCGATACTTCTTTAGAATTACTCAATCAATTCATCATGTCAAATCTTCCAGCTTTGTGGAGTACATGGTGTCGTTTACATAATTCTTAACGAATTGGGCTATTGATGGGGAAACTTCGGATCCAAATATTATGACATGCATCTCGTAAACGTTTGGCTTCCTTTCTCTGTCCATGCCCCTGTGAAAAAATCTCTGGCAAACGTTGTCTTCCTTCCGAATCAACTTGTACAATATGAAATGGATACAGATCTGGGCCTGCAAGAACGTAGTCGTTGGGGCTCACGCCAGATATTTTTGTTGCTGCATCGAAGACAAGCCTGCATTTCTCAGACTTATTCGGATTTCTCACCCTGAAGCGTGGTAGATACCGAACTCGTCCGTTGTCATCTTGATTCCCCAAAGGATAGTTTCTCTTCATGATTTTTTGTGAGAAAATCATCAATATTGTTGCAATATTTCTTGAAAATTCTTCATCACTGTCCATCTTTTTTTCTATGAATCTCAGTCTGTTGATTGCGGCTATCTTACTTTCAGGTAGAACAAAATTCTCTTTCTTCCAGGGCAGACCTATTTCGAATCTTCTGTTCTTCTGACTGTCTTTTCAGATATGTCTATTGCTTTCTGATAATTCTTGGAATATTCCAGTTTGGACATCTTGTAGCCATTTTCAATCTTGAAATTTTCTTTAATAACCTCTTCCAGATATTTCTCATCATATTTGCCCACATTCGTGATAAGCATTTATGATACGTCGCTGGCCGGCTTTCATCGGAGCTATTCGTGTAGTGGTAGAAAGAAGGAGGATTGGAATCTTATATTTTATATGATAATAGTATTGAGATGGGGTAGACCATAGAGAAACGAATAAAAAGAGAGTTGTCAAACCTGCAATAAAAGTTGGCACCACGTTAAGAGCGACACACTTGGCAACTGGGTGGAACTAGTTACTATGATCGATAAAACAGATTCTCTAGTTACCGATTGAGATAAGGCGGTTTATTTCAAACCTTTACTTTGAAAATTTGTATTAATCGAGAAAATTACAAAAAAAAATTAAAAACTTAAAAAATATATTTTATTCTATCCAAGACTAGAGAACTACATATCATGAAACAATGAGTAAATAAAACTCTGAAAAAAAAAACAAAATGAGATATAAACTCTTCAGCCTAATAATGACTAGACATCATACAAAAAGAAAACAAACAAAAATGATGAAAATTATGAATAAATGAATAACTAACTCTGAAAAAAAAATTGTCCTGCTACATATGTTGCCTGGGTGTCAAATTCTGAGTTAGAAAACACAATATCGAAATTTGGAATAACCAATTCATTCAACTCATTGACAAGAACTGATGATGGCTCTGGCTCCACTGGGCATGTTAAAAATGAGTTGAGATTATCCAATTTGGTAGTCACATCTTCTTCACAATTTTTGTTGGCATTTTTAGGTATCATCAACTTATTCAACACTTGCTTGCACACTTGAATTTATATGCACGGGGTCTTGACATCTCACCACACTTTTACATCTGTGATATTCTTTTAATCTGAAATACTGAAATATTACATTAAACAAACATAAAACTGGAATCAGTTAACATGCGTTCTTCAAGAATACCTACTTCAATTCGATAAAATGTATGTTTAATTCAGTTCCGTTCATATTTCGGTTAGTTCAGAATGAAAGAATATCACTTATGTTTCTATAAAAATGTACCTACGTGCAACCTACATGAATATTATCAATTTCACCTTGTCAATAATAGAAATAAACTCGGAAATAAAGTAAAATAAATGTGAAAGAGAAACTCGAATTTCAGTATCAACATCAACTCGGAAAATAAACAATATCTGTTGTATTCCATTGGTCTGTTCCTTCGTTCTAAAATGGAACTTGCTAAAGTTGATGTTTTTCCATAGTTGTCTCTGTTCATAGCATGATATAAACAGAGAAACTCATATAAAAAAAAATTGAGTTTAACCAGTAGAGCAAACACATACGAACAGGCCTTATACTGTCGTGCTGTCGAATGTCGAAATTCAAAATGTTTCATGTCATGACTCGTTTGTCGATTGCGAACAGCGCCTCCATGCGCGACTGGGTTGCGCACAAACTTGATGGTCAAAATTTCCTATGTTTTGAACAGTCTCTTTATTTTTGGTTTGTCTATGGGGTAGACCAACCATATTCATTGAATATCTGCTGCACTTCGTCGCTCGTAACAAGATATAAGTACCGATTCAGAAATATCTACGAGGGGAGAAAAAAAATCGTATTTGGGGCATTAACTTTGTCCGGAAATTGGTCTCATGAAGTAGGCCGTCGAGTTTATGATCATGAATGAATATTCTCTGCAGACAAACATTTTTTGTTCAAGGTCGATTTCCTTAATATTGGAAGTAAGCTCTGTCGAGCTTTTCATTTCACATTATGAGATTTTTTTCTGGCGAATTTCTCTAACTGAGAGTCATTCACTTGCCTACATTTGCATGTTCAAATCAATTATTATATTTGAATTGATGATTGAGCACACCAGAAAAGCTACAAAGTCACCTGTCTAGTCTATCAATTTGCCCCAACCTATCCTAAACTAATCATTCATGACCTGAAACATCAATGGATTTTAGGTAGTTATATCCAGCAGAAAAGAAAACCATGTTCAAGAAGCGACACAAAAACTTCGAAACAAAGGATATGAAGTGAAAGGTGTAGTGTGTCACGTATCAAAAGCTGATGAAAGGAAGAATTTGATCGAGCAGGCTCAGGAGTATGGAGGGATCGATATTTTAGTCATGAATGCAGGTGAGCTTTTAAGTAAATAGTTGTACAAGTGGGTCAACAACTTCATTTGTCTGGAAACATCCGGAATTGTCAAAGTGACAATTCCAACTTTGAACTGGTAATAGACCATTTCACGCAGAATGTTGACCAATTTGTTCATAAAGTGGCTGGCGTCAATGGCTATGATATCAAAATAGTAGATGAATTAATACGTAGACATAATTAAAAGTTGACATTCCGAAATTCTAGGACTTTCCAAGTGGATGAAAAGGACTCTAGGAGAGTCCCAATCCCTTTCAATCCCAAGTATATGAAGGGACTGGAAAAGGTTATCAAAGATTTAGGTTTTGAAAGCGTTCATCAGTCTGGGTCAAAATTAGGAAATTTATTAGGCAATCCGAAAGATATAGTGGACACACTCGAGAAGTCGAGAATATACGGAATAAGTTGTAATGATTGTGATGAAACATATTATACAGTATGATGCAAATGTATAGAATAAATTCATTATTTCAGAAATGGGCATTTGAAGAAATTCCAAAAATACGTGAGTTTACATTTTTGAAACCTCATCTCATGACATTCATATGAAAGATGTTACGTCACCGGTGTTGGAGTAATGACGTAATGGACCGTTTTTGTAAATACAAACAGGGGTCATGTGACACCTCGTTTGAAAGGTCTACTGATCGTCTATCCAATAGTCAAAATTTTGCAAGAGAAGATTGAAATTGAAATTGATCATCATTTGGTTAACTGAATCTTGCAGAGATCTTCTACTGAGAATTGAAAATCGAAAATCTAGTTGAAAAAATACATCGATAAAAAAGTTCTGAACTCTACTTTTTGGATTTTTTTTGGAAGTCGTCTTGTTTTGAAATGAATTTATTCTATACATTTGCATCATACTGTATATTCCAAACCAGGTGACCCATATAAACAAGGTTCAAAGAACACAGCACATTTGAAATATGGCAGGTTAGATAAATCGTGTGTAGCCGAACATGTGTTCAATCACAATCATAACACATAACACACATATCACTAACCTCAAATTAGTAAAGCAAGGTAATAATATTAGAAAATTAGACGGATATGAGAGCTTAGAGATATTGAAGGATAGTAATAGAGTAGTTAGTAAGGATGATGGACCTATTCCATATTGCCCTCTATATAGTTTAGTGATATAAAAATTAGGATCAACATGTGAACCCACCCATGACAAGCATTAACTTGACGGTTAGTATTTTTCAACTTCAATTTCGGAATCGGTGAGTTATATTTCGGAAAAAGTAATCTCGATTTCAGAATTGGTTAGTTCGATTTCAGAAATGGTAATCTCAATTTCAGAATCGGTGAGATGAATTTCAGAAAAAGTCCATTCAATTTCAGAAATGGTGAGTTGTATTTCAGAATTATTATTGGTAGGTTCAATTTCAGAAGATGAAATCCTTCTATATGTTTGAGATGTTTTTAATTGCAAAAGAGAAGATTGTTCACAGTGGATGGTACGGTGTTTGAGAGCCCTATGTTGAATCAGATTGAACATATATGGGGTGGGGTGCCTTCAAGTCAGAAGTGAAGAGCTTCTTGCAAGAGCATCGCCAAAGGGTCATAGCTGGGGATCCGAACAGCTTGCTCAACCAGATACAATTCAGACTGCGATGTCTTGAGGAATGTGCAGATCATTCAATGAAAATGATAACACCTCAAATGTGTTTGCATTCTCATAATCATGTTCAACGCTATTATCTTCCAGCGATTCGGATGGAAGGCATCTGTGGAATGAATTGTGATTATAATTATGTTATTGAATTGTTTTTGACAAGTTGAATATTGTGAATATGGTTTGTTTATCTCACATACAATTGGAAACATTTCGAACCAATATAAGGATTTTTTTTCTGAAATTGAACCTACTAATTCTGAAATACAACTTACCATTTCTGAAATTGAATGGACTTTTTCTGAAATTCATCTCACCGATTCTGAAATTGAGTTTACCATTTCTGAAATCGAACTAACCAATTCTGAAATCGAGATTACTTTTTCCGAAATTGAAGTTGAATAGGTATAGAATAGAATATTAAGTTTTAATGTTCTCCTGATCGAAGATGCTATCATAGTTACCGAAACACGTGTCGAGGCGTTTGAAAAATCGGTTTGGTTAGAGGTAAAACCACGTAAAACAGTGTAGTATATTTTCATTGATGTCCCCTATCAAGTCACTCAATGGTATTAGTGAGATGAAATTTCCGGCATAGAAATTACTACTGTTATTGTTTCTAATTGTTTTTATTCATCAAGTTGCATTGCGAAAAGAGTACAATAAAATCACCTTGCGCCTTTATATTCGATATTGTTTGGAATTGACAATAAATTTTATGAATGTCAGAATTGAAATATAATTTAATTAAATATCGAGAAAAAGAATCATAAATTAAAATGTCATGCTGTGTAATTCATTGTGAGAATTCTGAAAATCTCATTTATTCAATTTTTCGAAGGAAAAACTTCATAGTTTCCCATAGGAAAAAATGAAGTTTTTCCTCTTCCGTCAATCTAGGAGAATAGAGCACATCACTTTCAACCCTATGAATTCATTGATATACCGGGTGGCTACGGAAGTGTTGCCTACGGAATACCTTAGTTATTGTATGGGGTAGGTTTGGGAAATTTGGAGCGTCGATATAATGACATAAGAGCTAGGATTCGAGCATATTGACATGTCGAAGTAAACTTCCGGTCTGACCGGAAGTAACATCAACTTTCTTATTTTAAATGGAAACTCTATTTTTTTTTCTTTCCACTTTATTCAGCATTCAATTCCCTTCCTAATGACATATCACAAGTTGGTATCTAACCAGAAACTAGATCAGAAAAAAATTATTATTGAAATTCACCGAGTAGGCCGTGGAAGCAAAATGAGAGCCAAAAAATGACTTTCTAATATATCATTAGAAAGGAACGGTTATGCTGAATAGTACAGGCAAGAAAAAGTTGTATGTTCCTATTTAAGTCATGGACCTACAGAGTATTGTTTTTTTCCCAATTTTTCCAATATTTTTTTTGGCGGCTTTTTATAACGCCGACGAATGAAAATGAAATATCACAGTAGTAGCAACTGTCATCAAGTGACGTATGGTTTCCATGGTCAACTCTTCAATTTTTGGCTTTCATTTTGCTTCCACGGCCTACTCGGTGAATTTCAATAATAATTTTTTTCTGATCTAGTTTCTGGTCAGATACCAACTTGTGATATGTCATTAAAAAGGGAATTGAATGCTGAATAAAGCGAAAAGAAAAAAAATAGGGTTTCCATTTAAAAAAAGAAAGTTGATGTTACTTTCGGTCAGACCGGAAGTTAACTTCGACATGTCAACATGCTCAAATTCTAGCTCTTATGTCATTATATCGACGCTCCAAATTTCACAAACCTACTTCATACTATAACTGAGATATTCCGTAGGCAATACTTCCGTAGCCACCCGGTATGTCTATTTTGTCGTATAAAAATATTGTCACATGCATTCTCTCCATTTTTATACTTGATGTTCTGCGAAAAGTGTATCGCTTCAAATTGAAGTAGGTGTTCATGCCCTATTTCTATTTTCATCTACGGCTATGATAGATTTGACAAAACCTCTAAAATTGTGTATGACAATTGACAATCAGGGCTATTAGGGAAATGGAAAAGACAAAGAGCAGCATATATGTCTTATTCTTTCATTCACTCGAACCATTATAATATAATAGAAAATAGAGAAGGGCATAAGTTCAGCTGTGTCCGAACTCTTATCAAACTAATATCATTGCCTGAGGAAGTATTCCCAACAACATATAATCTCCAGAAGTTCAAGAAAAATTCCAATACCTACCTCCTATCCCTATCCTCCCTAGGAACGCACGATGTTCTTTGAACATTATAGGGATTCCCTTTCGTGCGCTTCAAGCGATAAAAAAAAGATCCAGTGACTATAAACTATTGATGATCAATAATTTGCCTAATAATGCCCAATTGTATGCATTTTAATCGATAGGTAATATGGTTTACCCTTCTCAAATTTCTGAAACGATTTCAATCCCTGTTTCCTAACACCAGGAATTTATTTTCTATGTTTGTTATTTCGACAAATTTCAAATGTCATTGATGTCTGTGACAAGGCTACTGGGTGATTCCATAATTTTATGAGTAATTTAGCATATTTGAAATAATAAAAAGAAAGGGTTGCCTGAGAAAATCTTGCCCAGGCTATAATTAATTGAAAATTCAAGAAAATTTTTCCTTCCTACCGATGAGTTTGATGAAAAAAATGTACACCAGAACCGTGAGTACGAATAAGCCTATAGAATATTGAAACGTAGTACCTGTTTTTCCCGGTCTATACATTGGGTTGCCAGGTATGAACAGGTATTTTGGTCCTAGTTATGTTCACCTACTGGTTTAATATATAAATCAAACATAAAAATAAGCGTTGTTGCATTGCGAACAAAATGATACGCAAAAAGTCTGTCCTAAATGTAGTGATTCACACGAGACCAACTGCGAGACGAGACGAGACTTTATGAAAGTCTCGTCTCGTCTCGCAGCCCCGAGTCTCGTCTTGTCTCGCGTCTCGTACGAGTCTCGCAAATGTATCGCAATCTCGTCATGCATAATCTTGTTCTAGTCTAGTACAGGATATTAACCATTACCTACTATTTAGGTATAATGTAGAAGGAGGAAGAGAAAATTACAACAAAAAACATTATTTATTGAAAAGTAAGTACCTAGAATAGGTACATACTTACATCATACATCTAAACAAGAAAAAAAAATAGCATTCTATATTCAATTGTAATAAAAATGAAATAAAGAGTAACACGTATGTTCTAAACTAATAATCAAAACAAAAACTTTAATCCAACATTATTTTACTTATCTGAGAAATAGGTATCTAAGAAAATAGTTATTCATTTTACTAGGCAGAAAAGTAGTCAATCTACATTTGCTGCCGTGTGAAACATAGAATTTTTTCTCC